GCCCAATTTTGAAGTATTAGAACTAAAAACTTTAAATTTAGTAGACACGTTCCTTTCAAGGATAAAAGGTGCGCTACAAAAAGTTTGTTGAAAAAATCGAACACCAAATTGCATGCTGAGAGCTTAAAGGGCATTTTACATAAATATATTCCAGTTTTTGAACTATTAAATCTACAGACTTGAAATTTAGTATGCATGTTTCGTTCTTAGATTAGAGACCCTTACAAAAAAATATTTTCGAAAGTGGATTACAAGGGATGTTATACACAAATATATATTCACGTTTTTTGACAATTAGAACAACAGACTTGAAATTTGGTATCCATGTTCCTTTCATGGAGATTAGTGACAAAAGGAATTTTTCAAAATTGGCACCCAAAGGCATTCCGAGGTCTCAATGGGCGTTATAGTTAAATATTCTCGTTTTTGACCTGTTAGAACAACATACTTGAAATTTTGTAGGGATGTTTTTTTAGTTATTGTAGGAGGAATAGCGTTTTAAAATACCTTCATAAATTTTAAAACGTTTCTTCAAAATTGAATGGTTATTCATTTGTAATATTTTGAGCAAAAAATTGTTTTAAGTAATGCATATAAAATATATTGGCTACAAGAAAAAAAATTCTAAAAACTTTAAATCAAAGATTTTTCTTATAAATCTCGACATGTCTTCATAATTTAACACATAACATTTAGAAATCGTTTAAGATATTTAAAATTTAAAGAATACATTACGATTTTTAAATGGCAATTTTACGAAAAGATTGCATTTCGAATGATGCATAATCTTACGATCAGTGTATGAATTTACGTTTCCAAAATCACAATAAAATATTATAAATTATATGCGTCTATTATACATATTTATTTGTATATATTATAAACGTGCATGTATTTTTAGAAATTTAATTTACAAGATGTTAAAATTATACTTTGCAATTTGTTGCTAAACAAATCTGATACAACACGAAATTTTAAATCTCAAGGGAAATTTGTAAAAGAATATTAAAGGCAATTTGCGTGAATTGATTTAATTTAGATCGTTCTATGGAACAGCTTTCCATTGAAATCAAATTTTAACATCAGGAATGAAAATGCCTTTTATGGAATAGGAATGAAATCTTACATTCATGACTACTATTATTCAAAAGACGTCATATTGGCATAAATGAGGAAATTATGCTAACTAAATCTGGTTTCAATACATAACAACTCTCCTCACAATGTACTTTCTATTTTATGTGGCGGTCAGATATTTCTCTTTAAAATAATGACTAGCCTCGGTCTCATAACGATTGCATTGCGTTACCATGGATGCATTGTTCGCATGCATGTGCGTCACATTTTAATCTATTTTAATGCACACTCAAGAGAAATAATGTTAGGAATGTTTAAAATGCATAGAAAACGAAGATACCAAAGCTTTTATTAGGTACCTAACTAGTTTATGATACTGCAGATGGCTGTTTGAGCAAATCTAAGCTCATTTGGTCTGTTTTAGATAGTTGACTTAAGTTAATGATAATATTGTAATTTCTTTCTCAATTGAAAATGTTATATATATATATATTATATATATATATATATATATATACAGTCGGACCTCTGTATAACGAAGTCATTAAATCCCGGTAAAAAGTTCGTTATATGGAAATTCGTTATATACATGTTTATTGTTCAATTTTCTTTATAAACCCCATAAAACAAACTTTAAATTCATAAACACTGTACATTAAATAAAGTAATTATTTACACCTTTTTTGTAAATTAATACTTATTTATTTTATGTATCTTACGAATGAAAAAAGAAAAACTGCAAATAAGGTTTCTTTTTACTCCTTTATCCACTTCCTGAAGAATTGAATTTTTCCTTTGATGCTCAAGCAATTACGTTTTGACATTTTTGAGCCGCAAGAAACGAAGTTAGTAGTAGGACTCATTAAAACTATACACGGGGACACGAGATAACTCTTCTGACGGTGAAAGGAGATATCGAAGATGTTTCCAGTGAACTAGACATTGGAAGTTAAATGTTGCGTTTCTTGGATGAAACGACCAGAATTATATTGCTTTCGGCGAGTTAAGCACCTAATAAAACCAGTTCACAAGTTTCCATGAAAAAAAAGGAACTAATTGATGATATAATTGTTTCCTGGCATCATGTAATAACAAAGGACGAGCTTAAAACTATTTTCAGCTCAAACATCGATGTGAAGCTGCAATAAAAAATAAAGGCAACCTCACGAAGGCTTGATAACTCACTGCTATCATGAGTACCAAATGTATAGCGACAGTTATTGCAGCATAACTTTTTTTTGCGTAACAAATGTTTGAATTTTTTTGTTTTTTGTTTTTAACTCAATATTAAATTATCCTTAAAATAGTATAAAATACTTTGCATTTTGCGCAACGTAAAATTTTCTATAAGCAAACAAACTTAAAAAAAACATAACAATTTAAAAAGTGTCCACAATTTTGTCCACCACTATACATATATATATATATATATATATATATACTAGTTG